GGTCTCCCCAGATGGGGGCTGTGGGGCGGGGGGAGAACCAGCAGAGCCCTTCTGAACGTGGTCACGGCTGGCAGGTGAGACCTGGGGAAGGCAAGACTGGAGGCTCTGACTCTGCGACTTCAAGGAAGCTGGTGCCATTGCAGCAAAGGCACTCACTGGAAAGGGAGAAGCGCTGTTTGAGACACCCAGTTGAAGATGTGAGCCTTGAGGCAGAGAAATCTCACTTTTAATTCTCTACCTTTCCCTTTCCAGCCAGTATTGTCTGGGGCAAGTTACCTAAGTTCTCTGAGCCTCAGTTTTATTGTCTGTGAAGTACGAGTGGTCATGCTCAGCACAGGAGGTTCGTGAGGCTGGGAGAAGGTCGGGCGATGCTGATGGTGGCAGTGGCACCAGCTTGAGTGGCTGGGCGGTGGGCCACCATGGGCTGGGCCCGCACGTGAACACTGAAATGTTAGATGGTGTACCTTTTCCTGCTTGCCTGATTAGGGGCCTAGGAGCCTCCCCTCTCGGGAGACCAGCTTGACTGTGGATCGGGGCAGAGATGGGCCTTCTCTTGCAGCGCGGGGCAGCCGCTGGTGAGCCGGGGGGCGTGCAGGGAGGGCAATGGGAGCCTCTGCCAGTGTTCAGGAACAGCCCACATGAGGGAAATCAGGGCCTAGGCTGGCGGGAGGTTCTGAGCATTGGGGAGTTCCAGGGAAAGGCCTGGGAGTGCGGAGTAGCCACATGGCAGGAGGGATGGGCCCCAGGCTGGAAACAGGTGAGAGACTGAGCACCAGGAGGAGGGGCAAGCAGCCCCCAGCCCCCGATTTCAGTTATTGGGTCCTCAGGCCTCAGCTGGCGCCTGCTGTGGCCTCTCCTGGGATCCGGTGGATATGTATCTGAGCAACGGGAATCCTCAGGCCAAGGTGAGGAATGGTGCTGTGCTTGGTAAATGAGACATGCCATTGCCTCCCTAGGATGACCCCTCCAGTGAAGCAGCCTCACCGTTGGTCCTCAGCCCACAGCCTTCTGCCTTCCACCCCCTGTATGCTGTCGATTTGCCCATCTACGTCCTCCAGGTTTGGACGCCTTACAACTCTTTGGGTTTGTTAACAACTCTTTGGGTATGTTAGTAAGATTGTCATGAAGTGTCTGGCTTTCTGAGACTTGTCACTGAGGTAGGGCTCTAGTGGAAACTCACTGGGTTGGTGGCCAGGATGTCTTGCTGCTTTCTAGAAGACGTAGGTAAGTGACCAAGAAATTAAAGACTGAGAATAAAGCCTCAATAAAACTGAGGCTCAGGTTTGCTCACCATTGTAGCCCCTACTTGTAAATAAGGTGAAGTTTAATATATTCTTTAAATATTTCATATTTAGAAATTCTAGTCCTGTTTCTCCTAGGAGAAAGGCTGTCCAGTTTTGGGGTTTTTTAAAAAAATATTTATTTATTTATTTGAGGGGACAGGGCAGAGGAAAAGGCAGAGAAACCCAAGAAGGCTCTGTTCTGAGCTTGGAGCCTGACATGGGGCTCAGTCTCACGACCCTGAGAATAGACCTGAGCCCAAACCAAGAGTTGGATGCTTAACCGACTGGCCAGCCAGGTGCTCCCAGACCAGCCACGGTTTAACCTATGGGAAAACAGACCCAGGAAGGTTTGCTTAAGTAAGTGGATGAACCACTTAAGTGGTTAAGTAAGTCACCACTTAAGTAAGTGAATGAAGTGTAGGTGGCAGTGGGTAATTTAGATTTGGCAATAAAATAAAATAAAATAAATAAAATAAGATAAAATAACATAAGATAAAATTAAATTAAATAAGTAGCTTATCAAATTTCTAATAATTCAGCCTTAGATTACTTATTTCTAAAATCCATACTTGTGGTAATACATGTGGTATTCAAATTGGGCTATTCAGCATTTTCCTTTTTTTTTTTTAATTTATTTTTTATTGGTGTTCAATTTGCCAACATATAGCATAACACCCAGTGCTCAGCCCATCAAGTGCCCCCCTCAGTGCCCGTCACCCCCACCCCCCACCCACCTCCCTTTCTACCACCCCTTGTTCATTTCCCAGAGTTAGGAGTCTCTCATGTTCTGTCTCCCTCTCTGATATTTCCCACTCATTTTTTCTCCTTTCCCCTTTGTTCCCTTTCACTATTTTTATATTCCCCAAATGAATGAGAACATACAATGTTTGTCTTTCTCCGATTAACTTACTTCCTCCAGTTCCATCCACGTTGAAGCAAATGGTGGGTATTTGTCGTTTCTAATGGCTGAGGAATATTCCATTGTATACATAAACCACATCTTCTTTATCCACATTCATCTTTCGATGGACACCGAGGCTCCTTCCACAGTTTGGCTATTGTGGACATTGCTGCTAGAAACATCGGGGTGCAGGTGTCCCGGCGTTTCATTGCATCTGTATCTTTAGGGTAAATCCCCAGCAGTTATTCAGCATTTTCTTTCCTTAACGTCTAAAACAGATATTGAGTAAAGTGCTGGTGCACAGAGGGGGCTGGTGGGGCTCCCAGACAGCTGGAATGGGGTCCCTTCAAATGCAGTTGGGGAATGTGTATTCAGAAGACCTCACAGGTGTTGACTCCATTCTGTGTGGTATTCCCACTCATGAGATCGTTCTTAAATCTGGTAGGGGATCCCTGGGTGGCGCAGAGGTTTGGCGCCTGCCTTTGGCCCAGGGCGCGATCCTGGAGACCCTGGATCGAATCCCACGTCGGGCTCCCAGTGTATGGAGCCTGCTTCTCCCTCTGCCTGTGTCTCTGCCTCTCTCTCTCTAACTGTGTGCCTATCATAAATAAGTAAAAAAAAAAAAAAAAAAAATCTGGTAGTGTACTAATAATTGGCTGAAAGATATTCACCCTTGCCTTGGATCTAATGCAGTGAGAGAGTTGTAGCAGGAGGAGGGGGTGGGTAGGTGGGTGGTGGTGCAGCCGCTATTGCTGCCCACGGGCAGCTAGGAGCTGGGAGAGGTGCCATAAAGGGTCATAAAGTAACCTGGGACAGTCACGTTGCCCAGAACACCTGCAACATAGTAGTATTAAGTTCACTTTGTCTTCTTTAGTGCCTGTTTACACTAAAATTTCTTTCTTCAAGAAATATGTGCTAAAATGAGGGGAAAGCAAGTTCTTTTTGATAAAGTAAGGGGTGCCTTACTGGCTGGCTTTGTGGGTTATGCTGCTGGTTGTGTGGGGTTGCCGGGCCACCTTCTGCAGGTGGCTGTGCGCCGCCCCAGCCCCTGCTCTGCCCCTCACTACTCTGCTTGGTTTTTCAGGAGGTGCTTCCTGCAGCTGGAGGGGCTGCCAGGCCCGAGGATGTGCAGTGTGCAGGGAGCACCATCAATCTGCGAGATCTGCAGTGACGGCAGCCCTCTGCCCCGGGGGTGACACTTTTGGTCTATGTCCCACGAGACTCCATTACGTGGTCGTGCAGTCCCCATAGGGTTTCTGCTCAGAAGGCTAGCCGAGCTCCTCGCAAACCTATGGGCATATTTCTCAAAAGTGTTTTTCTTATGTTTTATCAGGAACCATTTGGGGGCTGTATTTGTTGAAATTGCCTTATACGAGCAAAGTGCTTCGTTGAGGCAAGGGACTGCCTTCAGGGCAGAGCACATGGCTTTCCCATACTCGGCCATGCATCTCCTGTCCCATTCCATCTGCACCATGGAGCACCTGCTGCGTTAGAAAAACAGACTTAACACAGGATTGGGGTAGAGTACAGAGTCCCTAGTCAAGTACCACGTATTTGTAGTAAAAGCCAGTGGGATCTTTCAGCTTCTGTGTTTTAGCGTTTGGCCTGAGGGATATCTGGAAACAGTTTTCCCTTTCTGAGAACTGTTTCCCAGCCCCCTGGGTGGTGTTTGCAGTTGGGCTGATTCTGTCTCCCTCTAGGGCAGAAGCGGGCATGTTGTCACTGTGAAGCCACCTTGGAATCCCCATGTCGGCAGAGCCCGCGGACAGCTGGCGTGTGGGGTGATGTGGGGTGCACTGAGGCCCTGTTAGCAAGGCCTCCGCACAAACCAGACTTAGACCTTATAATTCGGGGATGGATGGTGGCGTTAACACTAAATTCTTCTAAATTCTGTTTTTTGGGTGTTCATGTTTAGTAATTTGTCCAGTTTCTAAAGTCGTGGCCTGATGACTGCTGACGTGTAGGATGGTGACAGTGGCCTGTGTGCTTGTCACGGTGCACGTGTGCATAGACTGCATCCCCGTTGTTTCCAGAGTACAATCTGTCTTGCAAAGGAGATGATCTGATAACCTTGCACATATTTATTTGTTTGCTAGCAGGACTGGCCGCGGGTCACTCAGAAGTGCTGTTTTCTGCCTTGTGCCTATCAAGGCACATGTCTTTTGAGAAGCTGTTTGGTTCTTGGACGTGGAATTGTCCAGACTCTGCCTGTTTTGTGTTTCTTCGTGTCTGGAGTTGTCAGCCTTTGACAATGACCCCAGCACTCACGTGTGAGTCCTCCCTGTATCCTGCTCTGAGGTGCTGTCTGTTTGGTGCTTTTCTACCCACAGGAACTCGGGCCCCATTTATAAACAGTCTTTACCCGCAGAGCCCTGTGCCATGTCACAGACTAAGGTTTTGTGTCTGCCTGGCCCCTCAGCCTCCCAGTCACCCAGCAGCCCTCTCCCTGCATGAGAGCCAGCCTGCCTGCCAGGGTGGCCTTGGGGGCTGGTGGCCACCATTGTCCTGGTGGGAGTGGGGCCAGGCCATGGGAACACTCACTTCGGAGTGTGTCGCTAGACCTTCCCCCGGGACATCTCCCCCTATGGAGTGATTGGTACTGACTGGCAGTTTTCTGGGCTCTGGGTTCCTTGGTGGCCAAGGGCCCAACTTCTAGTACAAACGAATAAAAGTTTTTGTATAGTCACGTACTAGTGGTGTCACTTGGCTTACTTCACTGGAGTGTGTGTGTAGTGTTGACATGGTGTTTTGTCTTCTGTCGATAGTGTAACCCTCTCGTCCACCCAGCCTGCTGCCTCCTTTTCTGGTCTTTGCACATCAGACCTCAGCGTGGGCTTGGCCCGTGTGTCTCAGACGTGCGGGCCAGGCTGAGCTCCTCCTCCCAAGCTGGGGCTTGGGCTCCAGGGATCAGAGGGCTGGGTGCGGGTATTGGAACCAACCTGCCTCCTTAAACAGGGCATCAGGCTACCACGAGGGGGAGTTTATTTCACATGCATGAGGAAGCGTACCGAGGGAGGCCAGGTGGGGGGCATGTGGACATGGGGACAGCTGCTGCAGGCCAGCTGGTGGCTAGGTGAAGAACAGCAGCTGTTCCTCCTTGTCCTGGTCCATCAGCACGTGCTTGGGCTCCTCCTTTGCTTTGAGAGCAGGGGGCCGGGAGCGACACACCAGTCTCCTGCCTCTCTGCAGGGCAAGCAGACTCCGTGAGCAGGAGTGCCACGGTCTGCCAGGTCGGGCCAGGCCCCACAACCCCCAGCAGGCGCCACCTAGGCCCTGAGGCGTCAGGTGCTGGTGTCCTGAGCATGCCTGGAGGCTGGTGGGCCCAGGCGGTAGGGCCCGGGACGTCCCGGCCTCTGCAGTCTGCCCGCAGGCTCAGGGCTGGAGCTGCCCTCAAACTACTCAGGCCTGAGTACCCCCAGAGCCTGTTCCTGGGCTACCGGCCCCGAGATGGGTGAGTGTTGCGAGGGCACACCAGGAAGCACACGGGGAAGTATCCGGCTAAACAGAGGGAACCCGCTTCCTTTGGGGGACTTGCGGGGAGACCCTACAGTGTGTGTTGTCCCCACGTGACGGCATGGGGGTGCTGCTGTATGCAGAGAGCAGCCCCCCGGCCTCGTGTCTGCTGGGGTCCGGGGGCTGTATCCAGGCTTGGGCCTGCACTGGGGAGTACGCCTCCTGCTTCCAGGGCCAAAAGGAAGTTCCTGGCAGGGCAGTCAGGTTGGGGACCCCCTGGGTATGGGTGATGAGCTGGAGGGGTGAGGTCTGGCCCAAGCGTTGGTGGTATGGTGGGCCCCTGAGGGGCTGAGCTGTTCCTGCCAGCTCCTGGAGCTGAGGGCTGCACCAGGGCAGGGCTGCGAGGGCACCAGCCAGTGCAGTGGCTGACCAGGATAGGGCAGGTAGCCCCACTGGAGGACGTGCAGGGGAGGCGGGGCCCAAGATGTGGAGGGCAGCCCTACGGGACAGGGGCTGGTGGGGGCCGGGGAGCCAGAGACCCCACTCTAGCCTGGCCTTACTCTGGGGGCCCTGCCTTGCCCCCAGCACCCCAGCAGTAGCACCTGCAGAGGGGGTGAGCCAGGCTTGGCCGCAGGCCCCCGGCCCCTCCTAGCCCCACTGTGCCTGGTCGCAGGGCCCTTCCCCAGCAGCGACTCCCTGGGGCCACCCTGCCCACCTTCCTCTTGATCTCAGCCTGGGCCCGGGCCCGGGCCCGCTGCAGCCGCTCCTCCTGCAGCTGCTTCTGCATCATGACCTTCTGTTCCCGGAGTCTGGGTGTCCATGACAGCACAAGACAGATTGAGGACTGGAGGCACCTGGGGAGGCTCCCAGACCCCTTCCTGGCTCCTTGTGTGCAGCCCGCAGTCAGGCCATGGCCCTGCCTCTGGAGAAAAGTGCCCCCACTTCCCCCCGTTCCCTGCCAGGCCAGGTTGGCTTCTGCTCCTGTTTCTTCGGGTTCCTAGTTCCGGAGCATCAGCTCATATGCCCTGGAGGCCCACGTTCCCTGGTCCCCTCCCCTGGTCACTGGTCGGCCTGTGTGTGCATCTGGTCATCAGACCTTTGCCCAGTGCCTGCTCCCACCAGGGTACAGGACGAGGGACACCGAGGAAGAGCCCCTGTGCTTGTGGGAGAGACGAGTGGCCCTTTGCAGATGTGTTAGGGCCCTGCAGGAGTGGGTGAGCGTGGTTGAGGGCACCCCCTCACGGGCACCGTCCCCCTCCCAGTCAGAGGAGCCGGTGGGTCTGTGAGGAGCTCCCTGGGCCTCCCCTTGGAGGATGGCCCCATGCTGCCTGTGTCCGGCTGACACTGCCACTAAACTGGGCTTTCTCAGCTTTGGCTTGCATCTGCACTTTGGTCCCCTGGGCTCTGGCGATGCCAATCTGTCCCTCTCCAATCCAGCAGGGAAAATGGCCATTGCTGTCCCTTGGCCTTGGGGTGAGGCCATGCTGTCCACACCCTCACTTTGGCTCCTGGGCTCCCTGGATCCCCATCATCTCCCACTTCAGAACAGGAGCTTCCCTCACTGGGGCTAAATTTGGTGCCCTCTCTGGAGGACCCCTGGCTTTGTCTCAGCATGGAGCACCAGGGTGCTGTCTCCCCTGGTTTGGGAGCTCTTTGAAGACAGGTCTGTACCTGGCCTCTGTCCTCAGTGCCAGCCTGGAGCAGGTGCAAGGGTGTAGAGGGTATCTCCCTGCTCAGGGCCCTCTCTGCCATGAGAGGCACCCCTGTAGACCACACCGGGTGGGGCAGGGCCTGGGCTCTCACCTCATGCGCCGCTCCTTCTCCTTGGCCTTCTCAGCCTGCTCGATCTTGATCTGCGGTACACGCTCCAGGTTTTCGAGGAGCTCATCCAGGTGCTGCTCGATGATGGTCAGCATCTGCACGGTGCCCAGGTTGGACTCCTGCTGGGTACCGATGCAGTGGTGGTACACGTCTAGCACTTTGCGGTTCAGGCTCTCCAGCAGCTTGTCCTACAAGGCAGGGGGGCCTGCAGAGGGGCTGCATGCACCCCTGTCCGCCCCACTCTGCAGCCTGCTGTACCCAGGGCCCTCGCCGTGACATGGCGGCATTGCCTGAGCCCTGCCCAGCACACTCAGGAAATGTGGGAGAAACAACTTGGTTGCTTGGAGTTTTCCTGGCCAGAGCTGCCTTTGTCCCCCACTGTCAGCTGGATGCAGCAGGGTTCCAGCCGCCGCTGAGGCTTGCCCCTGTTCCTCGGCCTCCCTCCACCAGGAGTGAGTCTGTCTGGCAGAAGGTGGGAGGCCCCGGCCTGCTGGCTGTGACATCCTGTGTGCCTGGTTCTGGCACACGGTAGGTAAAGTCAACAGTAATGTGAATTAGGAAGCTGGGACTGTGCTAATGGTGCCAGCCCGGGTGCATTGTCAGGAGGGATGTGCCACTCCTTAGAACATTCCTGGCCCTCTGAGCCCTCAGCATTCTCTTTCAGGCTTGGGGACATGCCTCCTTCCTCCTGACAGGGTCACCTTCTGGACACTTGTGTTGAATGAAAGAAGGCAGGAATGGAGGGAGATGTGCTGGTTAGCTGAACAGCCCAGGGGCATAAATACACAAGAGTGGCTCTGGTTGGGGGACCAAGGACCTCTTCCAGCCAGCGTGTAAGGCCAGGTCTAAGAGCCTGGAAGGTGGTGAGGCGGGGCTGCCCCAGAGGGGCTCCTGAATGGATGGGGCCCTGGGCTGTGGTCACCCGCACACCCTCCACACCCACTGCCTGCTGGCTGCTGACCAGGGGCCTACCTCCTGCGCACCCTTGTACTCGCCGAAGTGGAAGACACGGGCTTTGAGCTCCAGCTCGGCGGCCATCTCCTCCTCCTTGTTGATGGACATCATCAGCATGGTGACCCAGTGCTTCAACTGGTTGACCTCCCTGTCCCTGGATGGGGGAACGGCAGGGCCCTGCCCACTCAGCGCAGCTCTGGGCACTTCACCTGTCTGAGCCTGACTACCCTGCCCCTGTCCTGAGGGCTTGAGGGGTCGTGACCACCAGGCATCTGTGTGCCCAGGGCCAGAGATGCTGCTGACATATGGAGCTAAAGTTTAAGATCTTTAACAATCAACACTACAAAAAAGTAAGTAACAGCTTTATTAAGGTCTAATTCACATATCTATAAAATTCTCTTAAAATGTACAATTCAGGGGGGCCTGGGAGGCTCAGTCTGTTAAACACTGGACTCTTGATTTCAGCTCAGGTCATGATCTCAGGGTTGTGAGATTGAGCCCCACGTTGGGCTCCACGCTCAGCAAGGGGTCCGCTTGTAGATTCTCTCCCTCTGCCTCTCCCCTGCCCCTCCCCCTGCTCATGCACTCTTCTCTCTAAAATAAATTCTTCTTAAAAATGTACAATTCAATAGTGGTCGGGATATTTACACAATTGCACAAACATTGCCATCATCTCATTTTAGAATATTTTCCTCACCCAGAGGAACCCAGTCCCCATGAGTAGTGTGGCCTTTGTGTCTGGCTCCTTCATTCAGCTGAATGTTTTCAGGGTCCATCCATGCTATGGCATGTGTCAGAACCATTCTTTTTTAGGACTGCGTGACAGTCCCCTGTGTGGATGGACCACATTTTGTCAAAACGGACATTTGAGTCGTCCTACCTTTTGACTCTTGTGAATTATGCTACTATGAACATTCATAGACAGATTTCTGTGAGGACACGTTTTCAGTTCTTGTGTGTGTGTGTGTGTGTGTGTGTGTGTGTATGTGTATATATATGTATATATATATATATATATATATATATATATATATATATAATTTTTTAAGACTTTATTTGAGGGACAGAGAGCATGAGTATGGGGAGGGGCAAAGGGAGAGGAAGAAGCAGACTCCCCACTAAGCAGAAAGCCTGATGCGGGGCTCTGTCCCAGGACCCTGGGATCATGACCTGAACCGAAGGCAGATGCTTAACCAACCGAGCCACCCAGTACCTTTGGGCATATATTTAGAAATAAAATTCCAACAATCAACTTTTAAGTGAAATAATAAACTTAAAGAATAATACTAAATAAAAATCTGCCACAATCATGGCAGAAACTGACCATGTATGTTGGGGTCTCCCAAGCAGGAATCTCTGCTCATAGGGCTGATGTGGGACCACCCAGTGTGGGCAGCTGCATCTGGCCAGTCCACCAGTAGTGCCTGGGAGGCCCAGAGGGACCCTGCCACCCCCATGGTGATTCTGTGGCTCTTCCCCCATTTGTTGATAGAACCCACTGCCATTTTCTCAACCCTAAGCTGCTCCTTTGCCCACTGTGGGTCCCATGGCCTATCACCTGCACCAGCACAGGGTTGCAGGCCACACTCCCCTGGCTGTGGGGTTGAGGGCTGAGACCAGAAACTTGTGAGCTGGTCTGGCCAGCTCTCCTGGGCTCATGCCCAGAGGTGGATGGCCAGAGAGCCCACAAGCAGCACACACACAGCCCACCCACCCAGGTGCTGGGGGGCTCATGCAGGTCCTCATGCACCTGGGACAACAGCAGAGAGCATGTCCTGGGTGTCAGGACCAACTTTCCTCCAACCAAAGTGCCCCTTGTAGGAGTGGTAGTCCTCCCCAAGGATACATGATGCATTCAGTTTTAACCTTTTTTTTTTTTTTTTTTAATCCTTCACTTTCAGTGCCTTAACTGGTAAGTGATCCTACAGCTGGCACGGTGCTACTTTGCTTTTGCCCTCCTTTGCTATATGGATGTGGTAGTGGTGGTGGAGGGGTTTTCATCATTGTTCTATTTCTTATCAGGGTAACTGGGATAAAAAGATACCTTTTCCCTACTAGTTCTCTTCAGATATAAAAATTGTTGGGTCACAATCTTTTCTCCTCAACTAGATCTCACCAATTTACAGGAATGCAAAGACCTAAGGGACATATTGCTCAGCATTGATCCTCAGACTACCATGCATATCACCTGCATGTTTGTCAGAAATGCAGATTCTAGGAGGGATTCCAGTGCACACGGAGTCTAAGGAGCACTTCATTACTGGAGAAGTGACCTGGCTTCTTCAACAGCCAGACTGCAGGAGGACAAGATAGAGAGGAAACCTATAGATTGAAAGGAATTTAACAACCCAACCAATTGCAGAGCATGATCTATTTGGATTCTAATTCAGACTAAGTCTAGAAACTCCATTTATGGATTATAGATATTTAATATTAAGGCTTACTGTTTTTTTAATGTGATGATGGTATTGTGATTGTATAATAGAGTCCATATCTTTTTAGAGGTATCTACTGGAATATTTACAGATGAAATGATACATGCTGGAATTTGCTAAGAAATACTACAGGAGATGAAGAAGTTGGTGGGTCTAGGTAAAGGGAGAGAGGAGCAAATCATTGTATACAGAAGATCTTCAAGAAGATTATCAGCAGATTTTTCCTTAGAAACTTTGAAGGTCAGGGGCAGCCCTGGTGGCTCAGAAGTTTAGCACTGCCTTCGGCCCAGGGCGCAATCCTGGAGACCTGGGATTGAGTCCCACATCAGCCTCCCTGCGTGGAGCCTGCTTCTCCCTCTGCCTGTGTCTCTACCTCCCTCTGTCTGTCTCTCTCTCTCTCATGAATAAATAAATAAATAAGGTCTTAAAAATTTTTAAAAAGAAACTTTGGAGGTCAGAAGATAGTGGACTGACATAGTCAAAGTGCTCAGAGAAAAAAAACTTAACTAAGCATTCTATATCTGGCATAACTGTCCTTTAAATGTGAGGGAGTGGGACGCCTGGGTGGCTTAGCGGTTGGGCGTCTGCCTTCAGCCCAGGGCATGATCCTGGAGACCCCGGATCAAGTCCCACATCAGGCTCTGTGCATGGAGCCTGCTTCTCCCTCTGCCTGTGTCTCTGCCTGCCTCTCTCTGTGTGTCTCTCATGAGTAAATAAATAAAATCTTTAAAAAAATAAAAAAAAAAGTGAGGGAGAAGCTAAGACTCTCCCCAATGAACAAATGTGAAGGAGTTCATTGCCACTAGACCTGCCCTCCCAGAAATACTCAGGGGAGTCCTGCACAGTGAAGTGAAAGGAAATCAGACAGTAAAGCCATATGACATTAAAAATCTCAATAAAGGTATAAGGTGGGCAATTTTAAAAGCTAGTAAAAGTGTAACACTGTAGTTTTTGTAACTGTACTCTGTTTTCTACATGATTTAAGAGACTAATACATTTAAAAGAATTTTTAATGTTTTAGAGCACACAATGTATGGAGATACGAGCTTGTGACATCAGCAACAAAAGGATGAAGATGGAACTGTAAGGGAGCAGAGTTTTTGTATGTTATTGAAGTTAAGGTGGTATAGATTCAAATTTGAGTGTGGTAACCACAAAGAAAATAGCTATAGAATATCCACAAAAGGAAATGAGAAAGGAATTCAAACATTTCACTACAATCAACTAACCACAAAGAAAACAGTATTGCAGGGCATGAGGAACAAAAACTATAAGGCATATAGTAAACAAAATTACAATGACAGAAGTCCCACCATATTATTAATTACTTTACTGTAAATGGGCTAAGCTCTCTCTCTCTCTCTCTCTTTTTTTTTTTTTTTTTTTTTTACCAAGGGCTAAACTCTCCAATCAAAAGACAGACTGGCATAATGGATAACACATGATTCAACTGTATGCTATCTACAAGAGACTCACTTGAGATCCAAAGACACAAACAGGTCAAGAGTGAAAGGATGGGGGAAAGATATTCATGCATATAGCAAACCAGAAGAGAGAGCAAGGGTAGCAATATTAGGATTAGACAGAAAAATTTACAGGAGACAAAGAAGAACATTATATATTAATAAATATCCAATACAATAAGAAAGTATAATAATTATAAGCATTTATGCACCTAATAACAGAATACCAAAATATATGAAGCAAAAACTGACAGATGGAAGAGAGAATTAATTCTACAATGACAGAGGCCTCAATATCCCCCTTGCAATAGTAGAAGAACAAGCAGACGAGATAAGGAAACGGGACTGAAGCATCAAATACACCATCTGGATGTAACAGGTATACACAGAAAACTCTACCCGACAACAGAGGTATACACTCTCAAGTGTGGATGGGGCATTTTTAGGATGTCCCAAACATTAGGGCCTCAAACTAAGTTTCAATAGATTTTAAAAAGATAGGTATTATACAGAGTATCTTCTCTGCCAACAACTGGACAAAGTTAGGAATTGTTTACAAAAGCAAAACTGGAAGATTTCACAAAGTTTAGAAACTAAAGAACATATTTTTCAGCAACCAATGGACCAAAGAAGAAATCATAAGGGAAATTAGAAAGAAACCAACAAACAGGGATCCCTGGGTAGCTCAGCAGTTTAGCACCTGCCTTGGGCCTAGGGTGTGATCCTGGAGACCCAGGATCAAGTCCCACGTCAGGCTCCCTGCATGGAGCCTGCTTCTTCCTCTGCCTGTGTCTCTGCCTCTCTTTCTGTGTCTCTCATGAATAAATAAATAAAATCTTAAAAAAAAAAACAGATGAAGAATACAACAGAGCAATACTTACAGGGCACATAGCAAAACTTACGGTGCTAGGGGAGAATTTACGACTATAAAATTTACATTAAAGAAAGAGAAAGATCTCAAACCAACAACCTGACTTTACAACTTAAGGAACTTCTAGAAAAAGAAGAAATTCAACCTGAAACTAGCTAATGAAAGGAAGGAATTTTTACAAAAATTGGAGGAGAAAAACAAAATAGAGAATAGAGAATCAGTTTTTCAGTAAGATCGATATAATTGACAAACCCTTAGCTTGATAGACTAGGAAAAGACTGAAGTTACTAAAATGAGAATGAAAGTGGGAACATCACTACTGATCCTACAGAAATGAGAAGGATTAGGAGAGAGTACTTTCAACAACTGTGTGCCTCCAAACTGA